CCTCTTGCTTGGCTAAAACACCAGAGTCACGTCCTACAGCTGCCGCTTTGCTTCAAACCGAATTCATTCGCAATTCCAAACCGTGCTCTATTCTGCTGTAAGTGTATATAGTACAACTGATAATGATGAAGATTATAAGAATATTTTTAATTTTTCTATCCATCGGTTATACAATTATACACTGAATTTCCAGAAATGGTACTGTGACCAGTTAAGGCTTCCTGGAACATACATATTTAGGGATAATAGTAGGCAGGTGCGGGATTCAAAGACGACCTCTTAGTCGTTGTGCTGATGACCTCAACCACCACCGCCCCAAATGAGGAATTTGGTTCGATTGAAAGAGGAGTATACTAGCTGGTCGGTGAACCGCCGGCAGTTCACCTAGGGGAGTTAGCTAAAAAATTATTCAAAATCAACCGAGAGAAAGCGCATGAACCACACTCACCCACACCTTTTTTGTTCTGGTAGTGGACACCGGTTCGATTGGGCAGCTTGGGCTTGGGATCCCTTCCAAAGGGCTTATGATCCGACGAATTGGGCATTCCCCTCCCACCCCCAATGGATTGTGGTTTTCTCACATCACCCCGCTACCTTGTGGGTCAGACTTTGGCTAGTGAGCGGCTCCGGTTATGAATTCTCCAAGAAAATTCACCTGCATTGGCCTGGGTAACCGGGCACTATCGCCTCCACAAAACCAAATCAAGGAACTTTCCTTTTTTATAAATGTTCATTCTCCCATTTTTAGACCATTAATTGAAGAGGCCAACGCCGCTCGGGAACGTCGGATTGCGGAATCCAAAGCGGCCATGCTCGCCACTAATGAAGTTGCAGCGGCAGGCGTTGAGGCGGCAGTCGCGGGGAACGCCGGGTCCGAAAGAGCTCGACCTGCATCGGCAGACGATGTTGAAGAAGGTAGCGGGACAATGGTTCGCCAAAATCGGAGGGTGAATTCCACAGACGATGGAAGACACGAGTAAGATTTTGTCCATGTAAAAATATTTCCATATATGGGGAACGATGAATTTTGAAGCAATCATGATGCTGATAGTACGTCTTCTATATTACAGTTCGTGGAAAATGATATTTCAGTTTCACTTCCAGTTTGTACAAGCGTTAACCATGCACTTTCGTGCACCGGTTCTGGTGACGGTCTTTCGACTGCCTATTTGTATGAGAGAGTAGGAAAAGTTAAGAGTCGAAGAGAAAATGGAGAACTCCAGTAAACTAAGATTTCAAAGAAATCGAAACGTACGAGCGTCACTGTTTGCGGCACTCAGTTACATCAATCTCCAATCACTCTTTACAATGTTCCCGAGGTTCCCTAACGGGACACATGTGACCAAGTCTCCTGGTCACAGTTTTCATACCCTCACTCCAGGTCTTATTTTGACCACCCTTAGCTTTATTCCACGTACTACCTGCCCCGGTAAATATCGCTCGCCGTTGCAATCTGTTTGGCGACATGAGCAATACGTGCCCCAAGCGACGTAATCTATGGAAGTTGACCACTCGCTCCAGTGGGCTACCACGGATACCTAAAACTTTGTACCTAACTTCAGCCTTCATAATCCGTTGGTCCTGGATCTTCACTTAGCTATACAATTTCGTCTGCGTACCTTAGATCAGACAGTTACCGCCTGGGAGCAACTCTATACCGTTATCCTCACCCGATGATAGCGCCGTTTCAAGAATCAAATCTATGACAGTTACAGATAAATAGAGAGAGAGAGGGAAAACCTACCTAAAACCACTTTCTGTGGTGAACTCGGGCGGAAAAGTGCTGTCAGTTCCGATTCCACTTTGGTTATTAATATAAAGGGATTGTAATATAGAATTAAACTTCTCGGTCACTCCCTTCAGGGAAAGGTAGCGCCAGAGTTTAGAGCGGTCGACGCAGTCGAAAGCCGCTTTCAGATCCAGGAAGGCAGAGATGGTGCGTCTGCAGGAGGAATGCGGGTGCTCTAGAACTTGCCGAAAAGTGAAGATGTGGTCTACACAACCCCAACCAGGTCTAAAACCAGCCTGATTCTCACGCGTGCACCGTTCACGTGCGGCAGACAATCGACGGCGTATGATACCAGCGGGTAGTTTAGAGGTAATGTTGAATAACCTAAATCCTCTGGTTTCCACAATGGGAGGTCAACAGATGACGTGGAGACGAGGCATGAAGAAATGAACAGAACCAATAGGTAGTGCACGTGTCTCGCGCCTTCAAGGTTGGGGTCCGAAAGATTCCGCAACTGGTTGTTTTGAGATATTGAAGGACACGGCAGCGAACCGACAGAAATAGGTTTTTTTTTCTCATTTCTCATCAGGCCAGACTACTTGAAACGGTATGTATGCTGAGTTCGATTGTGTACTTTGTGTTGATCATAGAAATTCACCTTCCTCGCTCTCTCAAATTAGGTCCAGTCCCTGTCTACCTTACCACTAACCTTGTATGTGTTGCGAGCTTGGCAGCCACCAGTGAAGTTCGCTTCACTGTATTTCGTCCTACGATGATAACGGTGATGATTTCTCAATAGTATCTGTAACCTTTCTTACAAATCGGTAAGATGACCGATTCACACCATCCAGCTGAATCTGTTCCCTCACCCACACTCTTCTCAGGAGTTCCGTCAACTCCAAGACCAAGGCAGAATGCCCTACACCTTTTAAGATCACTTCTTTCTCTCCCCATCCGGAGTGACTTTTCGACACAGCGTGAAAACGTGTACTCGCTAACAGCTAACCTTTATATAATCTGTACAGGCAGAATAAGAACTCTGTCGAAAACAGTTGTTCGCCCTCGCACGTGTTCTAACGTTCTAACGGGTTTTATCCGGAATTTGAGATCTGAATTTCAGATGGAGGAATCATATCAGCTGAGACTATTTTCCCAGTCAAGGTGGGATCGAGACAGATTTAATGTCGATGGGGCCAGTTGAACTGGGCCTCAAAATGTTCAGTCCGTCGATCAAGGCGGCTGATGACAAATCACTGTGCCGTAGGATTCCTTAATTACTTCACTTAAGCCCATTTTCCTTGACCCCCTATTAATAATAATAATAATTAGACGGAAAGGAGTGCGACCGTAACCAATAGTCTCGGCTTTCTCTGACTCTAAACTTTCCTAATCACCATTTCTTGCGGTCATTCCTCATACTCTTGATAAGCTGGATTTTAAGGGATTTGCGCGCCCTGTCGTATGTGGCATCAGCAGGAAGGGTTCTGCGGGCATCCAACAGAACAGTCGAGGTTGACGATATACGTCGTTGATGCTTTGGGCGTGCATCGGAGTCCGCCGTTGTTTATCGATATTTTCATAGCATCCTTAATTATCTTCCAGTATGCATTCAGTCCTTCGGCCGGTTGTTTAACTGAGAGGCCATCAGACAGTTCCGCTGCGAAGGCCGATTTGCAATAATCGCTGACATTGTATCCTGGGTATTCGTTGTCGGTGGCTTTATTGCAGTTGTTTG